CACCCCACTGCAGTGTCTCTCTGATACATAATTTACCTGGCGTCTGTCGGGTCGATCCCCAAAGCGTTGCCAGAGCAATCGGTACTGCACGCTGTACCCCAGCCACGACAACCATCCCCCAGCATGGCACCACGAACACCTCGCTGGGCCAAAAGGCACTGAGACAAACGTGTCACAATAAAACCGACCACAACAGCAGTCAGTCATGAACAATTGAGGTTTAAGCTGATTCAAAGCAAATTTGGAACATGCCGTGAAAGTCACTGATGGAATGATAAACAGGGGTCCAAGCTTCTTAAAATTACAGGCAATTTCCGCTGTCTTCTCCCCGTACATTTTTGGCAACGCGCCTTGTATCAAGCAAAGAAAAAACAACGATACGCCGACAGGCACCATCAATAGAATACCACAACCACAACGCCTCGTTGAAGAATACTTCCTTGCTCATCACTCCCTACACCCCCACCGTAAGCCCGTAAACAGAGCGCGTCCATTGCAAACCACAATCCACGAAGTTAATGTTGGGCAAAAATTGAAATAATAAGGCACCCCACGGACGCACCAGAGAGAAAGAATCATTGCCCAGACAAGCGCTGACAAAAGCCAACGGTGCAACCGCGAGCCAAACCGAAGGTTAGCGCAATACCCATAGCGGAAGGCAAGGCCAGACAAACCAAACCAAGCACAGTTTGACCCCATCTCAAGAAATAATCATCAGCTTAAGGCTCTGAGACACATACCTCCTCACCAACCGACATGCGTGTGTCGACCGGCAAGGGCGGCACTGGGGTACTTGTACCACCGCGTTGCGATCTCTTCCCTTTGCCACGTGCGTTGCTTCCAATGTCATGTGCAACCCCGTCCCGGCACTCGGTCCTCGGCTCTTGCCATTTCCAATTTATTCGAGCCTCCCTCACAAATGGCTCCAAGAAGACTCTTTTGTTTGCATCCTCCCGTTAAGACAGGAAAAACAGAACAAATTCTTGTGACGGCAGCAAAAAAAAAAAAAAAGAGTGGCCAACCACAACGGCAGAATAACAAAAATGTTATTATGCAAATCCACTGAAAAGTTTTTCTGTTGCTGCTGTAACCGTTTTGCGTTTGCGCGGGAGGCTCCACCACCTTCCAGAGGGAATTGCATCGGCGCCATTTACGACTTTGTGCGAGAATTTAGACTTTAAATCCGAGCCCCCTGCCGGAGTAGCCTCCCCTCAGAAAAGTGGGGAAGGCGGAGAAAGTGCGGTTTGGTATTTTTGAGGCACGCTGTGCCGAAAACGAGAGCGCGGAAGAAGCCGAAACAAAACAAGACAAACTATCAAAGCAACAAACTAAAGGCGCTCCACCTTCAGCAGGCCAGCGCCACCGTCTTCTATGTCGCTGCCGGCCGTGGGCAAATCAGTGGCCGCGGAGACCGAACGGGTTGCAAAAGAAGTGAGCCAGTGGCTGACCAAAGTGAAGCTCGGGCACCTCGAATCCCCCCAAAGCCAAATTTCGCACGCCGGGCCGCAAGGGGCCCACAGCAGAATAAAATGTAACCCGGCGCCTCCCCAACCACGCCTCTTCCAAACCACGGCGCCTCTCCCCTCCTTGAACCATCCTTGTAAAATACGCCGGCATCGATGTCTGGTGTTCGCTCCGCGACAGGGGTGGAGAAGCAGTGCGGACGCCGTGCCTCTCGCTGAGAAAACCTCGACGCGAGTTCCTCAGCCTCCTCTTCCCAGTCAACGCAAATTGGTTCGACAGGGCGCTGGTGCCGGGCGTGGTGGAACCGGCACGGGCGGGATTTGTACCGTGCGCCGCGCACGTTTGCCTTGGGAGTGCATCGCGTGAAGCACCGGTCCCCCCGCGGAGGGCGCAGGGGATGCGCGCGGCCGCACTCTCCCTTTTCCCGCCTGCTTCGCCTGCTGCGAAAATATTTGCCTTCCAGCGGCACAACGGCTGCTGGAGGCACACCCCGCACCTGCCGGGGCACCAGCCACAGCGCGTGCTGCTGCCCGCGCTCGGAGCACGCCACCCCGCCCTAACCCTAACCCGGCGCCGTCCTCCCACTGAAGGAGCGCCCCGAAAGCAGAGCAACCGCTTGGGCAGCCCCCCCGCCCCCACCGAGCACGCGACGCACCCGCAGGCAATAAAGGCATTTGGGGCGCCGTGGGCCCCCCAGCGACACCGAAAGTAAGAAGCCGCTGCAGCTGCTG